GGTGGAGGCAGATGATGGAGGCGGAAACAACAAATGTCATCTCAGGGCACTGTACAAAATGTAATGTTGACGAATTAGTAAAGTTTTAAGATAAGCAGAGCAGTAGTTAGCTCACATGCAATGATCGTTAGAGTTCCATATGGTCATTTTTGACTCATTTTGATTTTACCCCACCAAAATAACATTAGAATCTAATGTGGTATCATTTTCTTTTTCCAGCACATGAAATGTGTGAATTTAAACTTTTTTTGTCGTTTGAATATACTGTTATTGTATTTTAGACCTTAATTCAATAAATAAATTAATTAATTAAAATAAATAAATAAACAAACAAATAAATAAAACATAAAAATCCAAGTGGGCAAAGTTATTTGTGAAACCCACAAAAATTTATGATTTTTATCTTTTAGAATGCCAAATTTCTAAAACTGATGTTAAAACACAGTTTTATAAAGTTATCAGCTACTGAGCACAGTTTGGACCTTTTCCACACATTATAATGGGTTTATTTATTTAACAGCTAAATGCATTGGTTTAAAAGTTAGCAAACCAGAGACAAATACAGCCACCTACATGACTACCATCCTCCTCCTGGTCACGTTGTTCTCCAGACGTAGGTTCCAGTGAGGAAGAGGATGATGCACCAGCAGAAAATAAATATCATTTTCTGACACTTGGCTGAATTTGCTTGTAGAAGCTTTTTCTTTTCTCTCAATTTTTGTTCTCCTCACTTATCTCCTTTTGCTCTTCTTATTTATATCGTATTTGTTTTCTTCTTCTTACTTCTTCCTCTTCGTCATCAAACTTTTCTTGTTCTTTGATCTTTGTTGGTGGTTGGTAAACAATGAATTGGTGCATTATCGCCATGTACTGGTATTGAACGCAACTACACATTTTTTCCCTTGCTGCTGGCCCAGTTTTGCACCAACCCACCGGGAAAAGTCCCGGTACTCCCAATGGCCAGTCCACCCCTGCTTGTTCGTGGTGGTAGGATGAAGCGATAGATTGATGGAGGGAAAGGTACAAAGAAACATAACTCTTGATTTTAATTACAAACATTTTACTACCTCATTGAGTGCTCTCACTCAAACTTCTTCTTTGCCGTACATTAAAATACTGTAGTAAAATATGTGAGTATTGTGCTATTTTATTTACTTTTAAAGCTTTCAGTTTTTAACCAAACTACCTTTAAATGTTTAACTCAATAAATGTTAATTTATTTTAGTTCTGTGAAGCCAATAGGCACAAGGTAACATATGCCATATATATCACTGTGAATGACAAAAACCTCTGTCTTCATTTTTTTATTTTAAGATATCATATAAACATTTTCAGTCTGTTTAAGATTTTTTAATAGGTTATTTTTCCATTTATACCTATGTTTTATACATTATTTGTCAAGGTAGGAAGATGTAAAACTCTAAAAACCACTAGATGGCATGATAGTGCAACCTAAATCCATTTAGTCATTTATGTTGTAAATGTTTAAAAAATGTTAAACCTTTAAATTAAATCAACCTTTTCATTAAAAGTGAAGTGATAATGATGTAGAATAATTTTTAGCTGAATAAGCTCCATCTTTCTTATTATTTAAATAACATTTATTGGTGTTCAGTGGAAGATAGATTTGAAGATGTATTGGTTTATTGATAAAACAGATCTTATACAAATCTTCATCTGTTCTTGAATAATCTGTAAAATAGCACAGTTACAGTGAGATTCAGAGTTCCTGTGAAAAGTTTACGCCCCGTGTGTTCTAGACAAAATGTAATGTTGATTCAGCCCTCAGTTCAGCTCTGTGATTTAGTAAGTCTAGGCTTTGGGAAGGAGACAGTAATTTATATGACGCTATATCCAACACATTAACACTGTGTTGACGCACACCCACACAACCACTGGGATTTAGAGATTTTCGGGACTCTCCCTCACATGCTTGCCAAAAAAAATCACCAACTCCTTCCATTTTTTTCTTTTCATTTCCTGTGCAGAGGATGCAGAAATCAACTGTGTTGGAAAACAAATGGGGGTGTTGTTGTGGTTGAGGACCATAATGTCCCACTGAGATGAGTCATATGCTGGACTTTTTTTTTTTTTTTGGACCGGTCTGTTACTGTTTGCTCCAATCTGCAGCATTGTCCAAACCCAGCAGAACATCCTGTCAGTGTGTCCTCCTCCACCTTCTGCTTCTCTTCTCCTCCCACCTGTCAGCAGGCTTTCAAACAGCACTAACATGTCACTGGACTCGTGTTTCTGTGTGTTTTTATTAAATGCCGACATGTGAGGCACAAAAGAGTTCTGAAGCTGACAGTGTTGACATTTTTAAGCCATTCTGACTTTTGGAGCTGGCAATTTCTTGGCTCAGAATTGGACTTTGGTGGAGGACCACCAGTGTGAGTCATCATTCTGAGTTAAATCACTATGTATGTCTTTTACAACCTGTGGTCTGACTAAAGGATTCATTAAGCTTTTCTTTATGGCAAACATTCATTAAAAGCAATCAGTGTTCAGTTGCTCCAAAACTACTTTAGGAAAAGTAAGTCTATGTTTTTTGTGGTTGGATCTTATTTGCATGTACTTTTGGTTTAATTTAAAGCTGGTGGTCTCGTCATGCTTAACCTTGTGGTTTTTTAAACATTTTTAATCTCTTTTAACTGAAATTGCTGAAAACACTTTAGATGTTGCTTAGTTTGAAAATACAAAAGAACAGCTTAATTGTTACTATTTTCTACAAGCATAAGGACCAGACTAAGAGATGTTTGATGACTTGTTTTATTACAGTTAGTCATAGTACCAGAATAAGGTCACAATATTAGAAGAATTCCTACACAAAAAGTCAGTCTCACCACTGTGTTAAAATGAGGAAGGTTGAGCATCATGTAAAGTTACACTTTGGTATTGGTTTAACAAACGAGGACATGCATTTAACCCATCAGCATCAAATTATTATCAGTGGCAGAACTTTAAAACAATTCAAATGTCTGTTTTGAAGAAAGCTCCACACAGAGTTGGAATAAACTGCGTCTTTTTGTGGAAGAGGAGCTGTGTGATCAAAAACATTTAGTTGTTTCTCAGGCAAGGATGAGGATGGTCCTGATGAGTTTGGATCCAGAGGAAGTGGAACTCCGGTGAGCACAGCTTCTCTAACGTCAACAGTACAATAGCAGGGGGCTAATCACATAATGTCAGTGGAAACATATCACACAAAGAGTGACCTAAAAGTAATGAGAATACTTCATAAACACATTGATAGAGGCTGCCCACAGCAGGTGTGAGTCGACACATGAATGGAAAAAGGACATGTCGTGTAATATTAAGATTTTTTTCTCGTGATGAAAACATAAATTCAGTTTAGCCCTAAAACTCATGCAATTTTCATTGTACATTTAAAAAGTAAAAAATATTTACAATGAATGATATTGTGAATTATAAATGATATGTTTATCTGCACTTTGGTTTGGGGTTGGGGGCTAAAATGAACTGTTCCCATCCACAGTCCATCTGCACATGGATTCTGCTTCTTCCTGTCTGTTGACCAATAGGAGAGGAGCTGACCCCAAGATAGGCTGCCCACCTTATTCACATATTGAGGCAGAAATAAATAAGGCAAATTAAAAACAGGAGACAGAAAATGTAAAAAGAAACCATGGAAATATAAAGACGTGGGGAAAACAAATAAAATTTTAAGAGACACAATAAAGGAAAAACAAAAAATATACAGTAAATATTTGAAAAACAATAAAATTTAAATTGTGCTAAAATATATAATTTGTTGGAACTAAGCTGGAAAAAATTTGAAGTTCTGGTAAATTATAAAATGAGGTAAAATCAATTTTTAAATTGATTGCATTGCATTTTAAGTGTATTTATTTATATATTTTTGTTTTTAATTTTAATTATGTCAGTTTCAGGCCTCCATGCCTTTCCAGTCTGGTGTGATTGAACATTTACATCTACACCTGCCCTCTGTTTCCCCTGTCACAGCTGCAGCCACTTCTCTCATCAGCCCCAGACCTTTTAGTTCCGCTGCCTCCTCTTGTGCCTCCCTCTGTCTGATCCTCAGTTTTTATAAGTTCTGCCACCACGTCAGCGTTTTTGTTTAGTTTTATGATGAAAGTTGAAGTTTTTGGTTTCCTGAGCTCCTCCTTCAGAACATTAGCCTGGTTTAAACTAAACCCTGTTCTTCACTTTGCTTCATACAAGGGTCTGGACTTGATGCATAGAGAATCGATTTCTTGCAGGAGGCGTGGCCTCTGCTGAAGCAAGTATGTGTTGTCGCTGGGAAGGAGGCTAAGCTAAGATGCTAACTGGAAATCACGTGTGCTGTAAACAACCCTCCTGAGAGGAGAAAAGTACCGAGCCGAACGAGACGATTGTAAATGAGAGCTGCTGCTTTGTCAGACAAATTTATTTTAATTTGGAAGCCTTATCAACACAGACTGGCTTCTTTCACTTCCTCCACTGCCGTATGCTAAAATAACTAGCAGACACTGTGCAGAACATTGACATTCTCTTCTATGATTGGCCCGGCTAAAAATCTGCCAATGAAATCCTTGCCAATGGGAGAAGTCCCAGACGGAGCAGTGAAGGGAAACTAGAATTGAGCGGAGCTGCGTAGGAAGGCAAGGGCCAGTCTACCAGAACATGGTTTGTTCAGAGTTCTTTTAGCTTTTTTCTCAACCCAGTAGAGTTTTGACGTTAGAAAAATATTTAAAAAAAACAACAATAAGTGGTTTGAGCCATTCTTAACTCTGCGTGACATTGTGCAACATTTCACATGAGATTGTCTCACTTCAGCTAAGAGTTACCTAATGAGAGAGAACTTACATTATCAGGTGTTTACTTTAGTACGAGTTTCTGTTACGTAACCGGTTTTCTACTTTCATTAGGCACCCTGTGTTTATACCTGCTGGCTGTTCATTGTCTTAAAGGATTCCACTTTAAAGCTCATTTTTCACATGCCATTTCTTATATCAGTCTGTTTTAAAACTTTTACACTTTTTAAAAAGATGACAGACTTATATTTCCTTCTTTAGCTCAACTGTGTTCCACCTGATTGTATTTGAAATCAAAATGTGGGGTTCTTTCTTTCTTTCTTTCTTTCTTTCTTTCTTTCTTTCTTTCTTTCTTTCTTTCTTTCTTTCTTTCTTTCTTTCTTTCTTTCNCTTTCTTTCTTTCTTTCTTTCTTTCTTTCTTTCTTTCTTTCTTTCTTTCTTTCTTTCTTTCTTTCTTTCTTTCTTTCTTTCTTTCTAACATTTTGTTCACTGTATCAGCTTTTTGCCGTTGCAACAAGCCAGTTCCCATAAAGAGAAACTGCAGATTAAAACAGCAGATAAGGACAGAGGAGACTACCTGGAAAAGATTAGATCTCATTTTCTGTTGTTGAGAATCTAACTGTGTTTAGTCATGACAGAAAAAAAAGATCTTGAATTGAGTTGTATTGTCTTCAAAAACTTGTTTGCAGCATGCTGGAATGACAAAGAACGATGGTTATATACAATATTTCTTAACATTTGTTCCCACAGAAAGCTGAGTCACTGTTTTATAGAAGTTTTTTCATTGAGCTGGTTGGTTTTCCACATTAATATTATCATAATTCATGATCCACAGAGGATTAACCCACTATGTGTCAGTTATCAAAAAGAAAAAAAAAACAAGTAGGTCCTCTGGATGGGTTCTTCTTTAGTGAGACTTCTTC